CCCTTGTTTTGTCGATTTGTCAATCCCTCTGCACTCTCACTAGCCCATTAATCTGATGGGCCTCATACAGCTTTGTCTTGTCGATGTTTGACCCCAAACGCTGCCCCGTTATCTCTCCTCCAGGCTCTCAGCCCGAGAGCGCAACAATCCCACCAGCTCTGGGACTAATCATCGCTGTGCACAGCCCGTCTCAGCAACCCATGGTGAGACGGCCCCTCCTCCGTCGCCGCTCAACCGTCCCCGAGCAGTTGTGCTGGGCCGCCCTGCCCTCTGCCGAGCCGGGTGAGGGGGCAGGGCGCCCGGAGCAAGGGCGTAGGGCGGCCCGAGTGAGGGGCAGGGCGCCCTGAGTGAGGGGCCAGGGCAGCTCAAGTGAGGGGGCAGGGCTGCTCATGTGAGGAGGCAGAACGATCCGAGTGAGGGGCAGGGCGGCCCGAGCAAGAGGGCAGGGCGGCCCGAGTGAGGGGACGGGGCGGCCCGAGTGAGAGGGCAGAGCGGCCTGCGTAAGGGGGCAGAGCGGCCCGGGTGAGGCGGCAGGGCATCGCGATGAACCTCCGATGACGGCCCGTTCTTGGCCGCCAATTACAGCTCATTTGTCCCGTGCGCTCCAATGACACGGTGCCTGGCGCGCGGCCGCCCGACGGCGGCATTAGTGGCGCGGCCGCGTCGACTGCGGCATTAGCTGCGCAGGCGTGCTCACCACCCTTCGAGCGGACGTAATGTGTTGACTATGTATCTCGGTCAGCAACCAGCTGATGACATGTGCGCACCTGCTATCAGCTGATGGTGTTTAGCTCCCTGCCACCAGCTGATGATATCTGAGTTCCCGCAATCAGCTGACGACGTCTGATGAGCTCGCCGTGGAGCGGTCCGGCTGGCGGACAGTGGACACGGCAGCTGTCCGACTGGCCGACAGTGGACACGGCAGCTGTCCGACTGGCCGACAGTGGACACGGCAGCTGTCCGACTGACCGACAGTGGACACGGCAGCTGTCCGACTGGCCGACAGTGGACACGGCAGCTGTCCGACTGGCCGACAGTGGACACGGCAGCTGTCCGACTGGCCGACAGTGGACACGACAGCTGGCCCACTGGCCGACAGTGGACACGGCAGCTGGCCCACTGGCCGACAGTGGACACGGCAGCTGTCCGACTGGCCGACAGTGGACACGGCAGCTGGCCGACTGGCCGACAATGGACACAGCAGCTGACCGAGTGGCCGACAGTGGACGTGGCAGCCGACCGACCGGCTGACAGCGGACGCGGCAGCTGGCTGGGCTGCGAGACGTCTTCGGAGGGATAAACTACAGCAACGTGACGCGAAACGATTTGAATGAAAAATCGACCATGACGGAACAGAAATCAGTTGACAACTCATACTGGGGTCGGGACAGATATCTTGTACCCTTTAACAGTTAAGTTAACTTAACCTGTGTCGCCCTTCCCCCCTCAAACGCACACGCCACAAAACCATTCACGTGAGCTTCGAAGCTGGACCGAAGGATATAGTGTGCAATACTTACGCAGTGACTGACTCTTTATGCAAACAAATATTATGCTGGGTAGACTTCGGTCTCGTCTGCTTGCGGCACCTGTCCGTTCAAAATATTTCCATTACCATGTCCGTCGTTCCCGAGTTCCTACGCTCTTCGCTATTATATTTGTTTTCCTAGTCCCACCGGTCCTCAGATCATTGAGCTCATTGCATTACCTCGTCGTCTGAGAACGAGGCAGTGATGCACATAACGTGCACGAAAGGCTGTGATGTCTTTGCTGAAATTTGTTCCACTGGATTCACTTGTCTTTGAGCATACAAGCGTTTGCACGCTTGCTTCGCTGCGTTAATAAAGCGCGCAGAAATTTTATATATCTACCTTTTGCAGTTTAAATCACGGTTATAGGTGTCCTAGTTGCCGATATGTGGCGCAAAACGTGAAAAACGGCCGGTAATGACCAAATCTACCTCACCGTTTCGTACAAGCGTTACACGCAGCACGTCCGACATGGCAATTCATGCAACATGATTGTTCGATTACCGACCAATGCATGCCACTCCCCAGTGGTCCCGTGCCCTTTCTGCTTCTGGTGGTGGTGCTGTGAAGAAGGTGTTCCGCTGTGTCACAACATTTTAAAACCTATCATAAATACGAACTTCAATCTTTCCGGAGCGTGTGGGTGTGACACGTAACCCGTGCGTACGTACACGTGGAAACACACCACAGACCATTTATTTCCTTATCGCGGCATACCAGTCCCGTGTGACTACATGCTTTGAAGGCCGAAATGTGGCGTAAAACGTAAAAACCGACGAAATCAGCAGGGTGGATCTTCACAACTAGTGTGCACGTGCAACGTGGTACGTGCGACATCACATCTTACCTCACGTGATTGCCCGTTAGATTGCCTATCGAAGCATGGCACTCTCGAGTCACTCCGTGCCCTGGGTGCAGCGATGTCGCAAAAAGTTAACTACGTCGAAAACAGTCAAATTCATATTTCAACACGTGGACGCCATGACACGTGGCACGTGTGACCAGCCACTACCATCTTACTCCCTCCACTCCTTATCGAAGCGTGCCACTCCGAAGTATGTCCGTTTCTTGGGCGCCCAGATTTGGCACAAAACGTGTAAAGCCGGGAAAGGAAGCAAAATCCATCTTTGAGCGCGTGCCACGTGATACGTGCGATCGTGGCATTTCACATGGCTCATCTTTTCGTGCCACTCTCTTGTTGCCCCGATCCGCCGTTGCCGAGATATCGGTGCGAGATGGTATAATCGGTCGGAGGCAGTTAATTACGGCAGCCAGTCACGTGATCAGACGGCCGTTTAACCTTGAAACAGCAGTCGGCGTCGGCCGATACACCGGACAGCGCTGTTCCGTCGCGGCGTAAAAAGCCGCCATGCAGCCCATTAATCTAGGCTCATCTCGGAGCAAACCATTGTGAAAATATCATCAATGAAAGGGTGGTAGAGAGAGAGGAAGAATCGGCCAATATGCTGCTGTCGATGTCAACGCTAAATTATGGATAGTTTTAACGGTAGTGGCTTGTACTCGGTGACGACTTTAAAACTTGGTCACTGGCAAATTGCCTTGCAAGCTGTAGCGCAACGATGCGTTGCGCAAACTCACGACGCACACTGAAAGTGTAGCCATTTTAATTGTGAATGCTGAGAAACAAAATTCATGCCTCTACCTGCGCTACGCGCCAAGATATCACCCAAAACGCAAAACTCTTCAAAAACGGTCAATTCCATTTGATCAACACGTGTGCACGTGCCGCGTGCCATGTGCCTCTTTAAATTTATAACAGCCCAATTGCCCATTATATTACCTATCTGGCTGTGCAAGTTTCATGTCGCTACGACCCTTGGTTATCGAGATATGGCTCCGGGAAACGAAGCCTGTCGGGCCGTCGGCCGGTCGCCGTAAAATTGGCGTCGCCCGTGTTAAGCCTGTTTGGATTTTTGCGACCTTTTTTTGCTCAGCACGCGCTTGTTTTTGCGAAATGCAAAATTTTGACTTGACCCAGACGCTTGTTTGCTTGTGTGAAAGTTTCATTAAGAAATTGTTTACCATGTAGCTTGCAGGTGATCCCAATGAGGTGGCAGACATACACACACACACACACACACACACACACACACCACACACACACCCACACACACACACACACACACACACATCCACACACACACACACACACACACACCACACACACACACACACACACACACCACACACACACACACACCCACACACACACACACAACACACACACACACACACACACACACACACACACACACACACACACACACACACACACACACACACACACACACACAGTTCTTTTAGTATGATGATAGATAGAAGACTAGGTGACAATGTTTAACAATGCAAAGGTTGCGTCGTAAACATATTACCTATTTAATGGACCATGAAAACAAAGTCACCACAAGCAAAGATCATACTTGGAGGGGCAGCTAGTACTTAGAGGTCAACTTGATATTTCGAACTTGTATGCTCTCTTGACGCTTCACAACTGCGACAGTAAAAAGGCTGCAGCTCTTGGACCTTTGCACCTTGGAATTAATATACAACGCAACGCACGGCAGGGAGTTTTGGAAGCATGAACCGTTAGCGTTATACTTATGACACCGCATGGACAGAAATGAATTAGAATTCTGTTTCTCTCCTCGGCCTGCTGGACATGGCTCGCCAGCCGACGACCTCTGTGGACGACCAACGGACAAGTCAACAGCACTATCGGCCCGTAACGCAGCCATCCCTGGTTACCTGGCCACCAGCCACGCGCCGGCCCGGTGTACCCCTGCCGGCGCCCGTCCTTCTGGGGCGCTGCTCACGGGCCCCTTTGTAAATCAAGCCCCGCCCCTGAGCGCCCCGTGGCCAATCAGGGCCGGCGGTGAAGCGTGCAGCGGGGCGGGAGTCGGGGCCCCCAGTCTGGCATTGGGCGCTAACACCAGCGGAGGTGCGTCGTAGTCTCCCCCGACACCGCAGCGTACCGCAGAGCTAGTCATGTCCGTGGCGTCTCCGGACAGTCCCGACAGTGGCATCCTGCTGGACGAGGTCGACCCGCACCACCGGCCGGCCGTGTCAGGGATCACCCACCGCATGACGTCACTGGTCGCGCTCGGTGAGCGGGTTTCGGGCGCCTTCTGCGGCACCTCCGCCGTCGCCGCCGCCTCCTCCTCGGCAGACTGCAGACCACTCCCAACAGGTATGCCAGGCTGCGGCCAGTCACCCGCTCGGAAGACGGGGAATGATGATCGCGAGCATTGTTGGTGTTACGTGATGTTGAAAGAACGCGACCATTGGTGCAGCGGCCAGACCAACGGTCAGCTATAAACTGAGCTTGCCGAAGGGAATTGCTGTAAGGATGAACGGACTATAAACGAATTAGCATGAGACTATTTCACACCCCGGTTGATGTACGGAAGGGCATTATGTGCTCCCATAATATGCATTTGCGCAGACATTTATTATCAAACCGGCTGGACTTGATAATACCGCTTAACAATGTCGCACCCCGACAATTTCTCTTGTTTGTGAATAATGATCATGACAGTAGATGACACCCTTAAAGCCATGAGAGGGGCATGCTCAACAACACGTCAGTTGCCTTTCCTGACACTTTGTATATGTCCTGAAAAGGTCACATGTATGTTGCGCAGCGTTTCCGGATCACAGCGCTGACTACTTGCCGGGTTCTTCCCGCAGGGAGTAGCTGGAAGCTCCCCACCTACTGTCACGGTCAGTCCCGTGAGGCCCTATCCGTCGACCGCAGCTCCCAACGACTCTGCAAGCGACTAGCGACGGCGCCTGCCGAGGCACCACTGTCAAAGAAGAAGCGCGCCGCGGCGGCTTGCGGGGACGCGTGGCGCCGGCGCCGAGAGAGCGCCAACTGCCGCGAGCGGCGGCGCATGCAGCGGCTCAACGAGGCGTTCGACCTGCTGCGGGACCACCTGCCGCAGGGCGTCGACTGTCCGCTCTCCAAGCACGAGACGCTCCAGATGGCCATGGAGTACATCTCGGCCCTGCAGGGTCAGCTGGCGTGACGCCCAGCGCTGTGATGGTCTGGGTATCCCGTACAAAGTGTTTGACGTGGCCGCTGCTGCGGTTAAGTGCGTGTGTACCTTCGACGGCTGTGCTTAGTTTGTAGAACCTTTTGTTTTAAGGGGCGAATTGAAGCTGATTGCGGGAAAGCCGCTGGCATGCCGGCGCTAGCGAGACCAGTATTGAGAGAGCCAGGACTGCGGCGCTTTTTGCAATACAATGCCGGAAATATGTGAAGTGCGTGTAGCTCACCGCTAATACAGTTTGCAATGTATCAAAATCGCAAACGACATCGATGACAGCAGCTTCAGGTGATAAAATACATACGATAGAATCAGACACTTCATCTGATACATTATTACAAACACTGTATCTATTCCAAGCCACCATATGCATGTTCAAAAAGCACATGGAGCAGAGCGCTCCACGAGCCAAACGTTTTTGGGGCTATCTGTGACGCGTTTGTGTCTGTCCGTGACGAGTTTGTGCCAATCCGTGACGTGTTTGTGTTTGTCCGTGACGTGTTTGTGTCTTTCTGTGCCGTGTTTGGGTTTGTCCATGGTGTGCTTATGTCTGCTTGTGACGTGTTTGT